GAACACAAGGTTTTATCGCTGGGTTTTTTACAGAAATGTTTGGCGATTGACTAGGAATGCCTTGGAGATCGACCAGTCGATCGTGATAGCGGTTGGTGACCACTGCTCTAGAAAGTTGAGTGAAGTTCAATCTCGTGCTTCTCTCTGTGGGCTGATATTTTTTTGCTGTGTGGCAGTCGCTGGGAGCTGCGCGGCAGTCTCAGGCTACTGTGGGCGCGCACCTTAGAGGGAACATTGGTTATGGATGTGTCACTGCAACCTTAAAGGTCCTAAATGATGTCACCACTGCCCTTGACTCTAAGCAATGTTGTGCTGCTTTTCAGTTCCCTGCAGCTAGCAACTGGAATGAGCTGCAAAGAAAACACTCAAACTGGACAGTTTTATCTCCATCTCTACATCCAAAGACTCAATCATGGATACTCTTACTTGACACTTGTGGCTACTTCACGTGATGTGTTTTTGTCTCTACCATTTTGTCCTTTGTGCTGTTGCCTATGCCTAACAATGTTTGTGCCATGTTTGTGCTTCTACCATGTTGTGTTTGCTACAATGTGTTCTTGTCATGCTGTGTTGCTACCATATTGTGTTGTTGTCATGTGTTGCTGCAATGTTGTGTTGTCTTAGGTCTCTCTTTATGTAGTGTTGTGGTGTGCGTTTTGTCCTACTTGGCCACCATTGTAAATACGAATTTGTTCTTAATCGACTTGCCTGGTAAAATAAAATAAAATTGGTCTTGTTTGGGGGCAGAGCTCATTAGAATAATACCCAGCATGCTTCGCTAGTGTTCATTTTTTACATTTACATTTTGGCCTTTTAGCAGACGCTCTTAATCAGAGCGACTTACAGTCAATGCATTCATCTAAGGTATATAAACAACCACATATCACAGTCGTAGCAAGAAAAACTTGACTGTTTTTTCTGATGGTCTGATAACTTTGAACATGATCACTGCCAGTTCTAAAGCTTTTGAAAACGCTAACATACTGTAAGTGCATGTGACAGATGGAAGGAACAATAAATATTCCATACTGCAATCTTCGTTTTTCTTTTTACCTATTTTAATTGTATTTCAAATTGTTGAATGTGATATAATACTTTCTTTATTGACATGACTCACTCATGCTTTCTTTAACTGAATATATGTACGGTTAAGATTTGGCCATAGAAACAATGACCAAAAAATACGTATTTTCAACATCCATAAAATACTTATTTTCAATGTCTGGAAAATACATATATTCAACGTTTGGAAAATACATATTTTCAGCTTTGATCAGAACTGAAAATGAACCTGATTTAAACGTCTGGAAAATACGTCTAAAATACATATTTTCAACGTAATTTTGCTCAATGGGCAGGGAATTTCCTAGTCGGGTCTTTCCGCCAAGTCTCTGGCATCCCCACTAGAATATCACCATCAGTTAGCTAAACCTGTGGGTGAGTCAGATGGCATTCTGTTAACGTCACAGTCTCTGCTCACCTCCCTGTCAGCAGTTTAAACCTGACTCACTCATGTTTGTTCAGTGTTTATGAAACTCACATGATGTGAGCACAACATAAAGAGCAAGGAGCTGGGAGGTCTATAAATAGCCCTATTTTCATGAATGACACAGTGGCTACTATTAGACATCAACAAACATAGCCTATACCCTTGGATGAGCCTTGCACACAGGCACACAAATACACACACAGGAACAGTCTAACAGACACGCACGCACATACACACACACCTCCCTAATCGGCACGGTCAGTTAACCCTCACATGCACTTTCCTGTTTTTGCTGTGAGGATGTGGTTACAGCCGCACTTTTAATGCTTCTGCTACAAACAATACATGTCATGCACACAGGCCTAACTCTCATTCACACTTTAATTCATTGGAAGACCTATCACTTCAAATGAATATCACTTTCCTAGTAAGCTATTTTGTCAGTGAAATGTGAAAATAATAGGCTACCTTTGATGTAAGCATTATGTTAAAATTTGCTTTGGAGAATCTAGCTCACCAGTTGGAAAAGAGGTACTAGATTCAATAAGCACCCAGGTGTTATGCAACATATGGGCTAATTAAGTTGTAGCATCACTTGGGACACCTCAAAGGCAAAAACTGTATGCAAATAGTATGTCCTCTGTAAATAACATGATTGTGAGTTAAATTGGGCTTCTAATTCCGACTAACTTACTCATGGCAGAACATGTGCATGAGCCTCAAGGAGAGGAAGCAAGGGGACAGGACTGAGTAAATCTGGATGGATGGAGCTCACCTGCCCCCTGTTGGCCAACTGTCGTCCATCTAAAATTTCCTGGAGCAATGAAGAGTATGATTTCAATATTCACTCAATCTTGAGCCACTATACCAAAACTGAAAATGTACAAAAACAATTACTGCATAACTCTTCATGCTATTTACTCATCTTGAGACTTTGGCCTAGATTTAATCAGATCAAGCATTAATGTCAATAACTGAGGTGTAACTGTGTAGGAGATGTCAAATCGGTGAGCAGCTGTTCATGAAGCCACACCCATCCCATTTGTTAGAAGTTCAGAACGAGAAAGTGTAGGCTATATGGAAATTACACTCCAAATGAAAATGTAAATTACATCTCACATTCCAGTGTTCGAACTTGTAAACAAGGCTTCACAGGATTTATCGTAATGGCAATGTCCGCTATAGATATAACGCCAGGAGCCGCTTGTGGATTTGACAGCTCTAACACAGTTCCACCTCCGACACCGCCAAAAAACCGCTATGCCAATATTGTTTACAAATTAAGAAAGTATGACTGACAGAGACCAACAGTTATATCTTTATTGAACATTAATGCGTATGATAAAGCTCTCAATGTATGAACTCTAATAATATAGTATAAAAATAAAAAAAGTACAAATAACGACAGTCATTGTAAACATCCATAACAAGATAAAAGCAACATAGTATATCATGTCAGTATTTCTTCAGCACAGTATAATGTGTTTTGATAATGTATAATGTCATGCTGTTTGAAAACCATGCCTCCAAACGAAACTTAATTCAGAACAAATCCCAAACAGCTGGGAAACACCTAGTGTTTTTTTCTGGAATTAATTACACTGAACAAAAATAGAAGTGCAACAATTTCAAAGACTTTACTGAGTTACAGTTCATATAAAGAAATCAGTCAATTGAAATAAATTCATTAGGCCCTAATCTATGGATTTCACATGACTGGGAATACATATATGCATCTGTTGGTCACAGATAGCTTAAAAAAAATACAAATAAAGTAGGGGCGTGGATCAGAAAACCAGTTAGTATCTGGTGTGACCACCATTTGCCTCATGCAGCGCGAGACATCTCCTTCGCATAGAGTTGATCAGGCTGTTGATGTTGTCCCACTCCTCTTTAATGGCTGTGTGAAGTTGCTGGATATTGGTGGGAACTGGAACACGCTGTCGTACACGTCGATCCAGAGCATCCCAAACATGCTCAATGGGTGACATGTCTGGTGAGTATGCAGGCCATGGAAGAACTGGGACATTTTCATCTTCCAGGAACTGTGTACATATCCTTGCGACATGGGGCCGTGCATTATCATGCTGAAACATGAGGTGATGACGGCGGATGAATGGCACGACAATGGGCCTCAGGATCTCGTCATGATAAAATGCAATTGTGTTCATTGTCCGTAGCTTATGCCAGCCCATACATAACCCCAATGCTACCATGGGGCACTCTGTTCACATTGACATCAGCAAACCACTCGCCCACACGACACCATACACTATCTGCCATCTACCCGGTACAGTTGAAACCCTCTGTGAAGAGCACACTTCTCCAGCGTGCCAGTGGCCATCGAAGGTGAGCATTTGCCCTCTGAAGTCGGACACGACGCCGAACTGCAGTCAGGTCAAGACACTGGTGAGGACAATGAGCACAAAGATGAGCTTCCCTGAGACGGTTTCTGACAGTTTGTGCAGAAATTATTCGGTTGTGCAAACCCACAGTTTTATCAGCTGTCCGGGTGGCTGGGCTCAGACGATCCCACAGGTGAAGAAGTCTGATTTGGAGGTCCTGGACTGGCGTGGTTACACGTGGTCTGTGGTTGTGAGGCCGGTTGGACGTACTGCCAAATTCACTAAAATGACGTTGGAGGCGGCTTATGGTAGAGAAATTAACATTCAATTATCTGGCAACAGCTCTGGTGGACATTCCTGCAGTCAGCATGCCAATTGCACGTTCCCTCAAAACAGCAGCCTTTTATTGTCCCTAGCACAAGGTGCACCTGTGTTATGATCATGCTGTTTAATCAGCTTCTTGATATGCCACACCTGTCAGGTGGATGGATTATCTTGGCAAATGAGAAATGCTCACTAACAAGGATTTAAACAAATTTGTGCACAACATTTGAGAGAAATAAGCTTTTTGTGCGTATGGATCATTTCTGGGATCTTTTATTTCAGCTCATGAAACATGGGACCAACACTTTACATGTTGCATTTATATTTTTGTTCAGTATACATATTTCGTACAAAACGGCAAGTCCTTATTTTCAGGGAGGGTACAAAAAATGAAAGGTACTTGATCAAACAAAAAGAATGTGATCAAAAACAATGTAATAAAGACTCTGGCCTAAAATGGCAATTACAGTAAGAAATGGCTACACACAGGGAGGGCATCATTGGTAGAGGTTGTTGTAAGAGAATATGGAATAGAAAAACAGGCGAGTAACATGATGGATGAGGAGATGTGGGCGAGTCAGTCAGTCTGCATATCCCATGCTTCCGTAGGGCTGGATTGTGCCACAACAGAAATAAAATGTAAAAAAGAGAAGTTTGCCACAGGGCTTCTTAGATGCGGCAGAGAAAGGGGAGGGGGGATATATGACACCAGGTATCGTAGCCTAGTGGCGGATGCTACATGTGATGGTCAGTCCAGTAGTATGCAGTGCATTATATCCTGTAGAGGGGAGAAGGCGTGAGTCGTAGTAGTGGGGTGGGGTGGGGGGATGCTGATGAGCTCAATAAGGGCGTCCATGTTTGAGCCTGTCGATGTGGAATGTGAGTTTGAGGGCAGGCCCGAGCTTCAAGCCCATGTATTTCATCATCATGTCGCTGCGTAGTAACAGGAGGGCTTTGCCATCAATCTCCTGCAACACATTGGAGTGGGATAACATTTTAATTTGCTATGGAGGGATATGCTATGTTCATTTGCTATGGAGGTTATAAACTCAACAAACGACTGAAAAAATCCTTCCACTAAAAACAATGGCATAACATACAGTGCATTCGGAAAGTATTCACACCCCTTGACTTTTCCCACATTTGTTACGTTACAGCCTTATTCTAAAATGGATTCAATTATTTTTTTTACTCCTCAATCTACACACAATACCCCATAATGACAAAGCGAAAACAGCTTTTTAGAAATGTTTGCAAATGTATTAAAAAACAAAAACAGAAATACCTTATTTACATAAGTATTCAGACCCTTTGCTATGAGACTCGAAATTGAGCTCAGGTGCATCCAGTTTCCACTGATCATCCTTGAGATGTTTCTACAACTTCATTGGAGTCCACCTGTGGTAAATTCAATTGATTGGACATAATTTGGAAAGGCACATACTTGTCTATATAAGGTCCCACTGTTGACAGTGCATGTCAGAGCAAAAACCAAGCCATGAGGTTGAAGGAATTGTCCGTAGAGCTCAGAGACAGGATTGTGTCATGGCACAGATCTGGTGAAGGGTACCAAAAAATGTCTGCAGTTTGAAGGTCCCCAAGAACACAGTGGCCTCCTTCATTCTTAAATGAAAGAAGTTTGGAACCACCAAGACTCTTCCTAGAGCTGGCAGCCCGGCCAAACTGAGCAATCGGGGGAGAAGGGCCTTGGTCAGGGAGGTGACCAAGAACCCGATGGTCACTGAGAGAGCTCAAGAGTTCCTCTGTGGAGATGGGAGAACCTTCTAGAATGACAACCATCTCTGCAGCCCTCCACCAATCAGGCCTTTATGGTAGAGTGGCCAGACATGCATTTTACTGAGGAATGGCTTCCATGACAGCCCGCTTGGAGTTTGCCAAAAGGCACCTAAAGACTCTCAGACCATGAGAAACAAGATTCTCTGGTCTGATGAAACCAAGATTGAACTTTTTGGCCTGAATGCCAAACGTCATGTCTGGAGGAAACCTGGCACCATCCCTACGGTGAAGCATGGTGGTGGCAGCATCATGCTGTGGGGATGTTTTTCAGCAGCAGGGACTGGGAGACTAGTCAGGATCGAGGGAAAGATGAAGAGAGTAAAGTAGAGAGAGATTCTTGATGAAAACCTGCTCCAGAGCGTTCAGGACCTCAGACTGGGGCGAAGAGTCAGCTTCCAACAGGATAACGACCCTAAGCACACAGCCAAGACAACGCAGGAGTGGCTTCGGGACAAGTCTCTGAATGTCCTTAAGTTGCCTAGCCAGAGCCCGGACTCTAGAGAGACCTGAAAATAGCTGTGCAGCGACGCTCCCCATCCAACCTGACAGAGCTTGAGAGGATCTGCAGAGAAGAATGGGAGAAACTCCCTAAATACAGGTGTGCCAAGCTTGTAACGTCATTCCCAAGAAGACTCAAGGCTGTAATCGCTGCCAAAGGTGCTTCAACAAAGTACTGAGTAAAGGGTCTGAATACTTATGTAAATGTAATATTGCAAATTTATAAAAACCTGTTTTTGCTTTGTCATTATGGGGTATGGTGTGTAGACTGATGAGGGGGAAAAAAAACAATTTCATCAATTTTAGAATAAGGCTTTAACGTCAAGGGGTGTGAATACTTTCCGAATGTACTTTAAGTGTCCTTCTATGCTGAGTGTTCTGTCAGGCTGATACGTACATAGAGATACAATAGGATACTACTATTCTATTAAATTCTGTGGATACGTACATGTTTTCTGAAGAGGTCTGCGTGGGGGGCCAGTAGGGGGTCTATGTCTCTGATGAACTGCATGACGTCCTCCACCGTCCACAGGTTGGGGTCCTGGTCACTGGGCCGAGGGCTCTCTCTTAAACGCTCAGAGCCTGTGTCGGATGGCGGGTCAGAGTAGAGATACAGAGGAATATTAGTCACCAATCACCCGTGGGTTTCGTTATTATGGGATGAGGAGCAACTCCATTTAAAGTGTTACCGAAAAGCCATACACAAACCATAAATAATCGTAATTTTCAGCTTGGCTAAAAATTTAAACAAATCCACTGGACAATATCATTTTTGCCTTTAATGACATGCACTGCATTAAAGATGATCCCCTACCTGAAGACTTGAGATTTAGCAACTTGGTGGGGGACCGCAGGCCCAGAGGCTGCCCTGTCGAGCCTGGGGACAGGGGGCTCTTCTTTAAGTGCTCCGACTCCCCTACACCGTTCTCCATGAGGAAGGGCTCACCTGGAACAACATGGAGAGGAGAGTCAATGACAAGGCCCAAGTGACACACCTGTAGCCTGTAGTTTAACTGTAGTCAAAAAGTTTGCTTAGTGGGACATTACTGGCTACACCTAGGCCTGTTGCGGTGACCGTATTACCGCCACACCGGCAGTCATGAGTTATGACCGCAGTAAAATTCCATGTGACCGCTGAGTCACGGTAATCTCCTCTTATGCACTCTGGACATGCTTTGGTAGTACCCAACTTGCTAACGACCATCAGGACCTAATGGCCTGGTACTCAGGGCTCTATTGTCCCTCTAACATCAATGCAAATGAAATCGAAAATCACATCAAACACTTCAAAACAGTATCGTGCTTTTAAAACTCACCTCACTGTGATGATCAATTTGAAGAAAGAAGTTCAACAGCAGGTTGAAACTGTGTAAAACATGGTCGTTGTGGATGTTGTTTCAAAGCCTAACACAACAAAATGGACAGCGCTTCTAAGGTGATTTATTCAAAACCACAATACGCATTTGAGCTTATGCATACGCATAGGCTTATGATCGCAAGCCCGAAAAATACCTGAATTAAAATGATGATTGTGCCGTTACACAATACATAGCCTACCACATATTACACATGGCAAAAAAACATAAAACAAAACTGTTTTAAGATGTTTTGGATATTGGTCTAGCCTATACTCCAAAATTAAACACATTTGAGTAATCGCCTTTGAGTATGGACTGTATTATTATGCATACTGGATGGACTGGTTACCTATTATGCTACGCTCCAAAATGTCAATCCACGAGTCTGGGAGAGAAAATATAGCCCTAGGCGATGCTGTTGGTTGTGCAGGGTGGCTTACAGATAAGCCTACAATTATAGTGAATTTGTATTTGATTTTGAATAGCCTAGTAATATGGAATTTTTTATATTTGCATAATTAATTAGGTGACACATTACCTTTCGCTATACAGACTACCTCACCACCATGCATTTCCATCTCCTCCTCTCTCTCCTTTATTCCTTTCTCGAGCGTGCAGAGGGGCTGTCAACAGTTTAGTGGAATATGTTTTGTTGCGAAAACATGTTACCATCGATGTTCCCGAACAGATTTCACTTGGTTTTCCAAAATAAGCACCGGGCAGCTGCAGGAACAGGGTTGGAGAGCCCATGGCATACAGAGTTTTGGCGGAATATCACCTGTCGCGCAGGAAGAGCATGCTCCTCAAACAGTGGTTGATTCATGGAGTGAAATAAGTGTTCTTATATTTATTTCTCAGCTGCTCATATTAAGCACAGCTCCGCTATAAAACCGAAGTAGCCTACCAGGCATAATTGAAAAACGGATTGGCGGGAAAGCGCAAGGCCTCCATTCGCTATTCGAGTGCATGCAGGTGACATGTCTTTTTCCCCTGCCCCTGTTCCTGCCCATTTTTTACATATTAGTAAAGACAAGATTAAATTGAGAATAGTCTGGTGGGTGAAAATATGGTCACTTGATGAGAGAACAGCTGTGCAGCCTGAGGCAAGGAACAGTGCAAGCTTTTTTGTGTGACACTCTCAAATGATAAATAGTTGCATCATGCAACCCATATGTTTTGATTTGTAAGACATTCTAAGGTTTGTATCATTCACAACTAAAGTTGCCAAATAACTCTAAACCTAGCGTATAGGATCTGTTTCAAATGATCACTTTTACGCTCAACACAACCACTTCATATGCGCACTCGCTCTGGAATGGGAAAAATAACCTTTCTATTTTATTCAGCTAAGTTCAATTATATAAAATCATTTAATACAAAATAATGGCACAGGACTTACTGTGAGGGAAAAAAGTATTTGATCCCCTGCTGATTTTGTACGTTTGCCCACTGACAAAGAAATGATCAGTCTATAATTTTAATGGTAGGTTTATTTGAACAGTGAGAGACAGAATAACAACAAAAAAATCCAGAAAAACGCATTTTAATGAGGGAAATAAGTATTTGACCCCTCTGCTAAACATGACTTACAGTGGGGAAAAAAGTATTTAGTCAGCCACCAATTGTGCAAGTTCTCCCACTTAAAAAGATGAGAGAGGCCTGTCATTTTCATCATAGGTACACGTCAACTATGACAGACAAAATGAGAAAAAATTTTCCAGAAAATCACATTGTAGGATTTTTAATGAATTTATTTGCAAATGATGGTGGAAAATAAGTATTTGGTCAATAACAAAAGTTTCTCAATACTTTGTTATATACCCTTTGTTGGCAATGACACAGGTCAAACGTTTTCTGTAAGTCTTCACAATGTTTTCACACACTGTTGCTGGTATTTTGGCCCATTCCTCCATGCAGATCTCCTCTAGAGCAGTGATGTTTTGGGGCTGTCGCTGGGCAACACAGACTTTCAACTCCCTCCAAAGATTTTCTATGGGGTTGAGATCTGGAGACTGGCTAGGCCACTCCAGGACCTTGAAATGCTTCTTACGAAGCCACTCCTTCGTTGCCCGGGCGGTGTGTTTGGGATCATTGTCATGCTGAAAGACCCAGCCACGTTTCATCTTCAATGCCCTTGCTGATGGAAGGAGGTTTTCACTCAAAATCTCACGATACATGGCCCCATTCATTATTTCCTTTACACAGATCAGTCGTCCTGGTCCCTTTGCAGAAAAACAGCCCCAAAGCATGATGTTTCCACCCCCATGCTTCACAGTAGGTATGGTGTTCTTTGGATGCAACTCAGCATTCTTTGTCCTCCAAACACGACGAGTTGAGTTTTTACCAAAAAGTTCTATTTTGGTTTCATCTGACCAAATGACATTCTCCCAATCCTCTTCTGGATCATCCAAATGCACTCTAGCAAACTTCAGACGGGCCTGGACATGTACTGGCTTAAGCAGGGGGACACGTCTGGCACTGCAGGATTTGAGTCCCTGGCGGCGTAGTGTGTTACTGATGGTAGGCTTTGTTACATTGGTCCCAGCTCTCTGCAGGTCATTCACTAGGTCCCCCCGTGTGGTTCTGGGATTTTTGCTCACCGTTCTTGTGATCATTTTGACCCCACAGGGTGAGATCTTGCGTGGAGCCCCAGATCGAGGGAGATTATCAGTGTCTTCCATTTCCTAATAATTGCTCCCACAGTTGATTTCTTCAAACCAAGCTGCTTACCTATTGCAGATTCAGTCTTCCCAGCCTGGTGCAGGTCTACAATTTTGTTTCTGGTGTCCTTTGACAGCTCTTTGGTCTTGGCCATAGTGGAGTTTGGAGTGTGACTGTTTGAGGTTGTGGACAGGTGTCTTTTATACTGATAACAAGTTCAAACAGGTGCCATTAATACAGGTAACGAGTGGAGGACAGAGGAGCCTCTTAAAGAAGAAGTTACAGGTCTGTGAGAGCCAGAAATCTTGCTTGTTTGTAGGTGACCAAATACTTATTTTCCACCATAATTTGCAAATAAATTCATTAAAAATCCTACAATGTGATTTTCTGGAAAAAATATTCTCAATTTGTCTGTCATAGTTGACGTGTACCTATGATGAAAATTACAGGCCTCTCTCATCTTTTTAAGTGGGAGAACTTGCACAATTGGTGGCTGACTAAATACTTTTTTCCCCCACTGTAGTACTTGGTGGCAAAACCCTTGTTGGCAATCACAGAGGTCAGACGTTTCTTGTAGTTGGCCACCAGGTTTGCACACATCTCAGGAGGGATTTTGTCCCACCCCTCTTTGCAGATCTTCTCCAAGTCATTAAGGTTTCGAGGCTGATGTTTGGCAACTCGAACCTTCAGCTCCCTCCACAGATTTTCTATGGGATTAAGGTCTGGAGACTGGCTAGGCCACTCCAGGACCTTAATGTGCCTCTTCTTGAGCCACTCCTTTGTTGCCTTGGACGTGTGTTTTGCGTCATTGTCATGCTGGAATATCCATCCACGACCCATTGTCAATGCCCTGGCTGAGGGAAGGAGGTTCTCACCCAAGAATTGACGGTACATGGCCCCGTCCATCGTCCCTTTGATGCGGTGAAGTTATCCTGTCCCCTTAGCAGAAAAACACCCCCAAAGCATAATGTTTTCCACCTCCATGTTTAACGGTGGGGATGGTGTTCTTGGGGTAATAGGCAGCATTCCACCTCCTCCAAACACGGCGAGTTGAGTTGATGCCAAAGAGCTCGACTTTGGTCTCATCTGACCACAACACTTTTACCCAGTTCTCCTCTGAATCATTCAGATGTTCATTGGCAAACTTCAGACGGGCATGTATATGTGCTTTCTTGAGCAGGGGGACCTTGCGGGCACTGCAGGATTTCAGTCCTTCACGGCGTAGTGTGTTACCAATTGTTTTCTTGGTGACTATGGTCCCAGCTGCCTTGAGATCATTGACAAGATCCTCCCGTGTAGTTCTGGGCTGATTCCTCACCGTTCTCATGATCATTTTAACTCCACGAGGTGAGATCTTGCATGGAGCCCCAGGCCGAGGGAGATTGACAGTTATTTTGTGTTTCTTCCATTTGCGAATAATCGCACCAACTGTTGTCACCTTCTCACCAAGCTGCTTGGCGATGGTCTTGTAGCCCATTCTAGCCTTGTGTAGGTCTACAATCTTGTCCCTGACATCCTTGGAGAGCTCTTTGGTCTTGGCCATGGTGGAGAGTTTGGAATCTGATTGATTCATTGCTTCTGTGGACAGGTGTATTTTATACAGGTAACAAACTGAGATTAGGAGCACTCCCTTTAAGAGTGTGCTCCTAATCTCAGCTTGTTACCTGTATAAATAAAATACACCTGGGAGCCAGAAATCTTTCTGATTGAGAGGGGGTCAAATACTTATTTCCATCATTAAAATGCAAATCAATTTATAACATTTTTGACATGCGTTTTTCTGGATTTTGTTGTTGTTATTCTGTCTCTCACTGTTCAAATAAACCTACCATTAAAATTATAGACTGATCATTTCTTTGTCAGTGGGCAAACGTACAAAATCAGCAGGGGATCAAATACTTTTTTCCCTTACTGTATAAGCATATCTTGTCAGCTAAATGAACAAGCCTACAGCCTTTGGCATGGAGCATACCCAGATAACATACAGTATTGCCAACTCACATTCTGTTCTTCTGAAATACATTTTCTTCATATCATGTTTCTCTAGACCTGACTAAAATAAATAATGGATTTGTTGTGATGGTGTATATTAAATGTAATATACACCATCACAATAAATCCATTATAGTCAGGTCTAAAGTAACATTATGATATGAAGAAAATGTATTTCAGAAGAACAGAATATGAGTTGGCCTACTGTATGTTATCTGGCTATGCTCCATGCCATAGGCTGTAGGATTGTTCACTTAGCTGACAAGATACAAGCTGCTGATGCACGAGCCTTTGGAACATCTACATTTAAAAAAGTATAATCTTAGACTTGTAGATGTTCCAAAGGCGCGCGCATCAGCAGCTTGTACGCGGCTTGTATGCAGCTTGTATTCGTGGAGGCCTGGAGATGCTAAACATGTTTATGTTAATTAACGGTCAATTACTGTGAGACCGGCAGACTTTTGCATTACAAAAACCGGCTAACAAAATGTCATGACCTCCACAGTCCTAGCTACACCCTAAAATAAGAGTTTTTGCTTGTACACAAATGTTTTCCATTTGTTTGTCCCATTACAGGTGCATGTTTCTATTTTTATCAATCAAGTTATTCTAAATGGAGCTTTAAGGATTTCCTAAGGAGTTCCTAAGGAGCTGTACCTTCCGAGGAGAAGCAGAGGTTTTTGGCCAGCTTGTGGGGGATGGGGCTGTAGTAGGAGTCTTGAAGGAACCGCTTGGAGCCTCTGCCTGGACCTGTCGTGAGCCCCTCCCTAAAACTTCTCCTTTCTGGAGGGTGTAGTAACAGAAAAGAAAAACTGAGGGGTGAAAAGTAAATACCTACATACTTGACTCAAATCGACACTGTTACAATGGTGAAAAGGCCAAAAACAAAACAGACAACCCTTTTCTGTCCTGAACCAACAGAAAAGCCAAGGTTATGCCCCAGTACAGTGTGTGTGTGTGTGTGTGTGTGTGTGTGCTGACCTGGGTAGGTGTGGCTGTCGTAATGCAGGCCCCCACGGGGGACGGGCTGGCTGCCAAACAGAGGGTCACAGTAGAGGTTGTGACAGAGTTTCTCCAGGAAGCGCAGGACGTACGTGACGCTGTTGACCGTGGGCAGGGTGAGGGTATGGTGCTGTTGGTCAAAGTGGGCTGCATGGGTCACAGAGGGCAAGGGTTAGGCTCAGACAGCCAATACTGTTCCTCACACTTAGCAGCAATGCCAAGTGAAAAGGAGATATAGAGCTTTTGGTTTGATCAATTTCAGGAAAAAAGGATCTACCAGTCTGTTTTAACAACTGGTCCTGATGTAGTGCACAGGGATGCTTGAAATAAATGAAGGAAAAATCATATTTTTTAAGGAAATGCAAAGACCCTTTGATTATCTCTATAACCAAACTTCTAATAAAGCTTACAGAAAACATAGCCCATACAGAAAGCAGGTACCAGTCCCAGACCTTACCTGATATGACCTCTCCTCCGTGACCTGGCTTGAGGCAGGAGAAGACAGAGCTCTGGTTGTGGGCACAGTCCACACAGGCCTGGACACACTGCTGTAGCACCGAGGAAACCCGGCCTGGACCAAAGTGGTCGGGCAGCTGCTGCACCCGCCAGCCGTCCAAGTGGGGGCCCACCTTCCCATACTTGTTCAGGTATACACACACTGTGGGACACGTAAGTAGATGCCGGCAGTCACGCACACAAACAACAGAGGCATTTAACATTCAGCATGTATACCACTCCGGCTGAAAAGGGCAGATTCGACTTAATGCTCCAAACATATTTCTTTAAACAAATATTACATTTTCATCAATGACTGACTCACAAGGATGTCCGAGTGCATACAAGTATTCATAATAAAAGTTGCATTGCGCTCCACAGAAATCCATATGAGGGTTAATTGCAGTGATGGAGCACTACTTTGTGTGTGTGTGTGTGTGTGTGTGTGTGTGTGTGTGTGTGTGTGTGTGTGTACCTGTGGCGGCCTGCAAGGCAGCGCTGGGGATGGTGGCGTTGTCCAGGGGCACCGTGCTGGTGTCTGGCTCTGGCATACTGCTGGTGGGGGAAACGGGCACGGGGTTGGGCACCACCCGCGGTTTTCTCTGTTCACACAGACACACACACACAACGTTTAGTGGGGTGGTATGTGCTCATCCATAAGAAACACTTGTCCCAGGTGCTGGATTAGTTACATTGTACCTAAAAATATATAAATTGTGTATGTGTGTGGTTACCTTGCTGCCGGGCTTGGGCCCTCTCTTTTTTGGGATCTTGATGGACTCCACTTGACCCTCCTGCAGGGCCATCCTCTGGGCCCAGTTGGCTGGCAGCCTCCCTCTGGGCCGGGACACAGGTCGCCCTGGGCCTGCCATGGCACCCTCCAGCCAGCCTGCTCTCTTCGCCCAGCCCAACTAAACACAGAGAAGGAGGGAGAGGACAATGTTAGGGTTAGGTCAACCACATTAGTTGTCAATTGGAGGGCAAACATGACTTTTCTCAGTAGCAGTGGAATTAGAATAGAAGTGAATTGTTGACTTTTGACCAATAAGGTTGTTATTATAAAAGAGTGTTTGGGTGCTGCGACACAGGATGAAACATCCAACCCTACCCTACAAACCCTCCCCAACCATGACTCCCCAACCTGGGTCCTTGGTCTGTACCTTACTCCCCGGTTTGGGGCCTCTCTTCTTGGGGACCTTGATAGGCTCCAGTCCCTTTCCGGGCGGGGGGGCCTGCGGTCCTACTCCGGCCCCCTTCTGGCCCCAGGGCCCTGTCAGCTTGGTTTTCCTGCGGCCTGGCTTGCGTCCCCGTTGGCCAGGCGGCTGTCCTGGCATGGCGTGCATGGCTGTTCCCTCGCTACCGTCTGAAAGGCATCCGAGGGTCTTGGGTAGCACTGCTGTCCCCAGAGAGAGAACGAGAGATAGGGGGAGTATAAATAAAAGTTCAAAATGGATGTTAAGGAATCAAAAAAATCAAATTTAACCTCTAGTCTAGAGATCAATATATTCATTCAAGTTATGTAATTCATTATTTCCTTCATTCATTCAAATGCAGCCTGGCAGGAAACAATGAATGTCAGACTCAGGAAGTAACATCAAATTGAGCCCATGACTGTTTGGTAATACACAATAACAAACCAGGAAAGAGCAGCGACTTAATCAAAATCATGACAGACTCAATGACATAAACAGTCACTGATCAAGTGATAGGCAATAATGCCTCTAACAACATAACACAGCAGGAGTGGTAGAACCAGCCACACACAAGTGTAAATAGACCCAGACAGCTTTTGTGTTAAGGAGGGCCACAGTGACCCAGTATGCTTTCAGCTGCAGAACAAAGAGGCAAGTTGTGTTACACTCTCTTACTGCCCTGCCTTCATAGGGAAGGATGAGAGACAGAGAGAGAAAGAGAGTTGCCAGGACCACTGCTGGTCATTAGTAGCCTACCAAACTTGCTAACTGCCTGGTACTTGCACTCTATTATCCCTCTAATCACTCTGACATCAATGCAAATGTATTCGAAAATCTAATCAAACACTTCATGAGAGCCCATGAGTTCATATTGCGCAACATTTCTATAGGCTATGCAATTGCGGGAGAAAACAGAGAGATGGCCGTTAATAAAAACACGAGAATCCCATTAGCTTTCTATAGGCTAGGCCTACTATATTTATTTCTTAACTTTCCTAATATTAAGCACATTGCTTATATTTACAACAGGAGTATAGCCTACCTCGCTGGCGTGAAAATAAACCACGGCGAAAAGCGTCCTCCATTCGCTATTTAAGTGCATAGATGACATGTATTTTTCCCCACTGCCCGTTTTCGATACAGGTGCATGATAATGGTCCATTCTAAATCAAAACAAATGTCACACATATTATTTAGTATATGTAAAGACAAGATTAAATCAAAAATAGTCTTATGGGTGACAATATTAGCCTATCACTTGTGAATGATGCCCAGCATAAGAAACAATGCCTTTTTTTGGCTACTTTTTCGAATTATAGTCGCACACCTCATGTAGCCTAGCCCATAGGCCTATATGTTTCAATAAGGTTTGTATCACAACTAAAGTGGCCAAATAACTTCTTAAAATTAAGCACATTAATCCGCTTTACAAGGGGTGTAGAGCCTAACTGGTATATATAAGCAGCGTGTGAGTTTCAAGTTTGGGGAAGATAATTTTCCCCATTCAAATGCACCTTTATAATAAAAGCATTACATGCATAATCGCATTTGCGGTCACTTTTGAAAAGCTGAAATATTTTGAGTCAATAAGTATTCAACCCCTTTGTTATGGCAAGCCTAAATAAGTTCAGGAGAAAAAATCTGCTTAACAAGTCACATAATAAGTTGCATGTGTGCAATAATAGTGTTTAAAAAATAATAATATGACTACACATACAATTATCTGTAAGGTCCCTCAGTCGAGCAGTGAATTTCAAACACAGATTCAACCACAAAGACCAGGGAGATTTTCCAATGCCTCGCAAAGGGCACCAATTAGTAGATGGGCAAAAAGAAAAAGCAGACATTGAATATCCCTTTGAGCATGGTGAAGATATTAATTACACTTTGGATGGTGTATCAATACCCCCAGTCACGATTTTCAAACCTTCCATAACAAAACCATCACCTATAGAGAGATTAACCTAGAGAAGAGTCCCCTCAGCAAGCTGGTCCTGGGGCTCTGTTCACAAACAGACCCCACAGAGCCCCAGGACAGCAACACAATTAGACCCAATGAAATCATGAGAAAACTAAAAGATAATTACTTGACACATTGGATAGAATTTACCAAAAACTGAGCAAACTGGAATGATATTTGGTCCAGAATTTTATATTTATTTAACCTTTATTTAACTAGGCAAGTCAGTTAAGAACAAATTCTTATTTACAATGACGGCCTACACCGGCCAAACCCGGACGACGCTGGGCCAATTGTGCGCCGCCCTATGGGACTCCCAATCACGGCCGGTTGTGATACAGCCTGGAATCGAACCAGGGGGTCTGTAGTGACGCCTCAAGCACAGATGCAGTGCCTTAGACCGCTGCACCACTCGGGAGCCCGGGAGAATACCTGACCACTGTGACTGACCCAAAATTAAGGAAAGCTTTGACTATGTACAGACTCAGTGAGAATAGTCTTGCTATTGAGAGGCCACCGTAGGCAGACCTGGCTCTCGAGAGAAGACAGGCTACAAAATTAGGTGGAAACCGAGCTGCACTTCCTAACCTCCTGCCAAATGTATGATCATATTAGAGACGTATTTCCCTCAGATTACACAGACCCACGAAGATTTAGAAAACAAATCAAATTTTTATAAATTCGAAAACAAATCAAAACGTTTATAAACTTCCATATCTATTAGGTGAAATACCACAGTGTGCCATCACAGCAGCAAGACGTGTGACCTGTTGCCACAAGAAAAAGGGCAACCAGTGAAACACAAACACCATTGTAAATACAACCCATATTTATGTTTATTTATTTGCCCTTTTGTACTTCAACTATTTGCACATTGTTACAACTCCGTACATTGCCATAATATAACATTTGCAATGTCTCTACTCTTTTGAAACTTTGATGAGTTTAATGTTTACTGTTCTTTTCTGATTGTTTATTTTACTTTTGTTTATTATCTATTTCCTTGCTTTGGCAATGTAAACATACAGTATGTTTCTCATGCCAATAAAGCCCTTTGAATGGAATCGAGAGAGAGTTCTTCACTGAGACAGATATCAATGGCAGAACTTGCAATGAGTGATACAAAGCAATCAGCTCACTTCATGCACACACGATAAAGGGTGAGACAAACAAATACAGACCTTGCACAACAGAGAGGCTCTTAAGCTTTGTGAAGTGGTTCTGATACAGCCAATCAAGCACAGACAGACAGACAAATACAAAGACAGTGAAAGTAGACAGGAGTTCCTCTGCACTAAGGTACCCGTGTGACTCGTCCTCTCTGCACACTTCCTTCCTCCCTTGAATTTTGATACACTTGCAAGGACTCGCCAATGGGGACCGGACAAGACCAAATTCCTCATAAACCGCAGACAATTACTCTCGCTCGTTGTAATCTCTGTGCAAGACTCACCAGAAGAAAAAGCAAACCAGTAGCCTACAGATACCCATCAAGCAGAACATGCTGACACTGCCTGGGAAATAAGAGTAGTAGCAATAAAGACACAAACTGCTGTCAGATATGGTGTTTAAATGTATCTTTAAACCTCCCACCCTGTAGTACACACCCTTCCGTTCTTAGGGGCCAGGCAAAGTCTAAATCACGCACTGCCTACAGTGTACGAAGCAACCACGATGACAATATGTGCAGCACACAAAGTCACACATGAACGCGGACACACGTACAAAGTCGCACACACGCACACCAGTTCAGTCGGCATGGTGTTGCACAGAGCTATTTGTCCTGGATCCACCTTGAATACTTTTACAAGGTGACCGGACTGAGCGATTAACACATGACTTAGCCTGTGGGGCAATATACCAGACCTGGTTCAAATACATGTGTATTTGAGTATCTGGTATTGAAAATACTTTTTTCTGTGTATTTGAGTATTTTCAAATACACAGCCTAAAACAAGTACTTTTGAGTATTTGAATGGTTATTTGTAAAAAAAAAAAAAATATATATATATATATATATATATATATATATATATATATATATATATATATATATATATATATATACACATATACAGTGGGGAAAAAAAAGTATTTAGTCAGCCACCAATTGTGCAAGTTCTCCCAGTTAAAAAGATGAGAGGCCTGTAATTTTCATCATTGGTACACGTCAACTATGACAGACAAATTGAGAATTTTTTTCTCCAGAAAATCACATTGTAGGATTTTTAATGAATTTATTTGCAAATTATGGTGGAAAATAAGTATTTGGTCACCTACAAACAAGCAAGATTTCTGGCTCTCACAGACCTGTAACTTCTTCTTTAAGAGGCTCCTCTGTCCTCCACTCGTTACCTGTATTAATGGCACCTGTTTGAACTTGTTATCAGTATAAAAGACACCTGTCCACAACCTCAAACAGTCACACTCCAAACTCCACTATGGCCAAGACCAAAGAGCTGTCAAAGGACACCAGAAACAAAATTGTAGACCTGCACCAGGCTGGGAAGACGAATCTGCAATAGGTAAGCAGCTTGGTTTGAAGAAATCAACTGTGGGAGCAATTATTAGGAAATGGAAGACATACAAGACCACTGATAATCTCCCTCGATCTGGGGCTCCACGCAAGATCTCACCCCGTGGGGTCAAAATGATCACAAGAACGGTGAGCAAAAATCCCAGAACCACACGGGGGGACCTAGTGAATGACCTGCAGAGAGCTGGGACCAAAGTAACAAAGCCTACCATCAGTAACACACTACGCCGCCAGGGACTCAAATCCTGCAGTGCCAGACGTGTCCCCTTGCTTAAGCCAGTACATGTCCAGGCCCGTCTGAAGTTTGCTAGAGTGCATTTGGATGATCCAGAAGAGGATTGGGAGAATGTCATATGGTCAGATGAAACCAAAATAGAACTTTTTGGTAAAAACTCAACTCGTCGTGTTTGGAGGACAAAGAATGCTGAGTTGTATCAAAGAACACCATACCTACTGTGAAGCATGGGGGTGGAAACATCATGCTTTGGGGCTGTTTTTCTGCAAAGGGACCAGGACGACTGATCCGTGTAAAGGAAAGAATGAATGGGGCCATGTATCGTGAGATTTTGAGTGAAAACCTCCTTCCATCAGCAAGGGCATTGAAGATGAAACGTGGCTGGGTCTTTCAGCATGACAATGATCCCAAACACACCGCCCGGGCAACGAAGGAGTGGCTTCGTAAGAAGCATTTCAAGGTCCTGGAGTGGCCTA